AAATGGTGGTGTGGGAGGCTTGGGGCCTGTCTATGGCATTTTGTAGTGGCAGGCTGTAGTGCTTTTTCAAAAAAGCACCAAAGTTTTCATAAACATTCATAAAATTGAAACATCCAAATAATAGATCCAAAGGTTTCAATCAGTTTTCATTTTGTTCTCTGGCCACTGACAGGTGTGGCAATGTGGTTCTGTACCACCTGCCCGGCAAAGTGACAAAGTTGGCGGTCGGCCTTGTGCTTTCGCTCTGGCGGGGAGTGAAGCAACCGAAGCTTACTTCGCCAGATGTCCCGCTCAAAAATTGCTTTGCTGCGCGTGTGGTGAAGCTTGCAAAGAAGGATCCTTACCCCGAATCATTCAACTTTTTTGGACGTTTCATGATGTGTCGTTCTTTCTACGTTGATATTCTTGGGGGATCTTAGTTTTTTGTAGTGATTTGATTTTTTTTGCCAAGGACGATATCTGGGTATGTGATGCTTTGAGCCGTGCTGATGTTGTTCCAGTGGAGTCAATCGTAACTCTGCTGAACTGCGAGCGTTCCAGTGTCACGCTCGAATCTCCCTGGGAACTATCTTTGTCAAAGGAGTCTGAGATGGCAATCGAGCGAGCTGAGTCCTTGGAAACCTGGGAGGTTCCTGCTGTGGTCATCTCTTCAGAGAAAAAGCTTGATGCAGGATGCGCCGCTGGAGCAAAAGGCAAGAAAAACGGAAAGAAGAAGGTTGGACACTTTGCCAAGTCACTTGCCAAGAAAAAGAAAACCGTTGATCTGGCAAAGAAGACAGCTGCGGGCCTGGCAGCAGACCCTGAAGCCAGTGCCCATCTGGCTTTGGTCAAAGCCGCAGATTCCGGAAAAGACGCGATTCCAGAGAACTTCCGCAAGAATCAACTAGGCCGCAAATTGATTCGCCAACAGATGGAAGCGCTTATCCTTCTGGACCTCACACTTTGGCCGCAGAATCCAGTCTGGGATGAATCTACAGGAGAATTGAAGATGAAGAATTTGCCAGAAGGGAAAGGCATCACCGCCAAAGAGATCATCAATCGCAGTCCAGCTTTCATGGAGACTTTCTTTTGGAAGACCAAGTCGCCGATGGAGTATGGCAAATCTGTCTACTCGCTCTTCCAAAAGGCAAGGAAGGACTTGCAGAATGCCAAGTCCCGCCAGCCGTTCCTAAGACTCCTGGCAGACATTTGCAAAGCAACTCTGCCTTCTTTGTAGAGTCTGTTCGCTCGCTGATTCAATAAGAATCGCATCAGAAGCCATGGGGTTGGCTTTGTGGGGAGTACAGCCATTTGACAGGCGTCCAAAAGCGCGTCAAAAAAGACAGTCTTGAATGTCTTGACATGTCTTGATTGTTCTTGGTTTTTCTTGATAATTTTCATGCGCATTTATCTTTGCTACAGAATGAGTAGCCCATTCCCGGGCGCGTACCATTTTGTAGCAATTTGTGACCTTGGCCCCCTTCATTTTGTATAATTGGCCTATCCCCTCCCTACAAAATGAGTCCAAATTTTTTGGAGTCATTTTGTAGGGATGGGACGTTGGTCGCTGTCATTTTGTAGTGATTTTCACTACCAAATAGGGACCCCGACCCCTCACCCCAAATATCAAGGGGGATGGTCGGGTCATCTTGCGGCTACGTGTGCCATATCTGAGACTATGTTGGGTCCTCTTGAGGGCCTCTGTCAGATCATCTTGGAGCACATGTTCCGCCTTTGCTCTTAGCGCGCGCCCGACACCCACGAAATGTCGATTAAGCCTGTCCGCGCGGCACGCATAACCGACACCACGGGCGCCCTTTTAGGCACGCCGAAGGCCACAAAACACTGTAAAAACCGATGTTTTTTCAACATCCTGCGCAAGATACATATAAATCTGTCGACCAGATTTGGGCGGGGGTCGACACGGGGTCGGGCGGAGGTATCCCCGCGGTCGAACAAAAGGGTCGGCGGCAGGGGCGGCGAGCGTATATAACCTTCGGTTACCAACCGAAGGCCTCCGGCAAGGGAACGTGCGCGTGGCCGGCGCCCGGATTTATGAGGCTTACGCCTGACAGCCGGGCGCCGGCCAAGCAGGGTGAGGGTTTGTGTTCAACGGTTTCGCTCTTGGCCCTAGGTTGGGCCAAGTTGAGCCCATGTGGTCTATGTTAGGCACATCTTGGGCCCAAGTTGAGCCTATGTTGGGCCTAGGTCGGCCTATGTTAGGCCTATGTTGGCCTAGGTTGGGCCTATGTTGGGCCTATGTTGGCGTATGTTGGCCCCATGTTGGCATATGTCGGCCCTATGTTGAGCCATCTTGGAGGCTATGTTGGGCATATGTTGGCTATCTTGGGCCTATGTTGGGGAAATGTTAGGCAACTTCTGTGCCCAACACCCACGAAATGTCGATTAAGCCTGTCCGCGCGGCACGCATAACCGACACCACCAGTGCCCTGTTAGACGGAAGTCATGTCCGCCGAAGGCCACGAAACACTGTAAAAAACGATGTTTTCCACATCATGCGCAATCATGCTGGTAGATAAAATATAAATAACATAAAAATCCGTCAAAAATCTGTCGACACGCTTCGGGCGGGGGTATACACGCGGTCCAACAAAAGGGTCGGCGGCAGGGGCGGCGAGCGTATATAACCTTCGGTTACCACCGAAGGCCTCCGGCAAGGACACGGGCCCGTGGCCGGCGCCCGGATTGTAAGGGCTCCGCCCTGGTGCCGCCGACCCCTTTTTTGTGAGACAAGGCAGCATGGCGAGGAAGGCAACAACCGAAAGTGGACATAGTTCTGTTGTGGACACCAATGGTGGTGGTCGTGGACCTAAGACAGAACAACTGCTTATATAAAGGAGCGACCAAATGGCCTCAGGGGACTGTGGGTCCCAGAGGCTCCCTCCCAAGGCTCCCGGAAGCGTTTGAAGCTAAAATGCTTGATGTCGCCTGGCGCGTTGGCTTCGGAATCCGAAAGAAAAGAGGTGCAGGCCTAGGTGGCAGGTTCCAGAGGCTCGGTTCTAAGGCTGCAGTGCACGGGCTGCACGTTCCAGAGGCTCCCTCCCCACGCTCCCGCCTGACGCAGGCAATGCTGCGGTGCAGGAGTAGGCCAAAGGCGCCGGGAAGCTTTTGAAGGCGCCTGGACGTTGCCTTCGGGACCCTAAAGACTAGACGACGAGTGGCCCGAAAGCATTTTTCATCATGTAGGAAATCAGAGTGCGAGTTATCCGGTAAGTGTGTAGTGAGAAGTGTTAAGTCGAGTGAGTTGAGGTAGTGTGTGGGTTTCTGTGCGTGTGTCTATGTCCGTGTGGAAACGAGTCTGCGTATGTGTGTGTTCGTGGAAGTTGAGGGGTTTGAGGCGTTTGAAGGGCAGTTTCGGGCCACTAGAAAAGGGATTTGGCGCGCCAGAGCCCCGAGCCCACAGCCTGCGCAACTCCGCCCACAGTCTCGCAGAGCCCAGAGCCCACAGTCTGGCAAGTGCGAGGTTTTGGAGCGTCTGATTCTCGCAGAGCCCAGAGCCCACAGTCTAGCAAGTGCGAGGTTTTGGAGCGTCTGAAGCGTCCATGGAGCGTCTGAAGCGTCCAGAATCCAGACGTATGGCACAACCATGGCAAGTGTCGAAGCGTTTGAGGGGTTTGAGGGGTTTGAGGCGTTT